CCCTTCCCCAACACACGCTAATTCTTGCAACAACGAGCCAAGCCCTACAAAGCTGTCTGCAGCCGACTGTCCCAGCCACAGCATCAATGGGACGATTCTGTCCATGCCAAGACAGCGTGAGCTCTCCAGCTTTGGTATCTCTCCAGGTCCAGGGTGCTGGCTGATGGGACTGGAGACCCGGGGACACTGCTGTAGCACAGGCAAGGGACCACTGTGGTACCGAGGGGCTGGTGATGCAAGAAGTACCATCCCCATCTGCAACAGCCTACCAGCCTACCAATGTGCAGCTGTGCCAGTGTCTTGCCTATGTGTAATCACACAACCACAAGTACTTGCCTTCCGCGTACATCTGAGGGCCACAACAACTTCCCACATTTCCTGCTTCATGCTGCCTATGAACGGCTGCCACACCTGCCCTTTGCAGGACCAGGAATTGGTTCCTACACACAGAATCTCTTCATGATTGGTTATGAAAGTAAAACAGGCAGTGGGAATAACCCCAACATCTCACCCTTTCCCCTACAAAAAACCTCTTTGGGGCACTGAGAGAGCAGACAAATCAGGGCCGCAGGGTTTAGGGTGCACCCAAAACACCCTGGCCATAGACGGAGGAGCGATCGAAAGAACAGCAGCAAGCCATGCGTCTGTGCTGTCTGTGCTTCCCTCCCACCTGGGCCTCTGTGAAGTGGGGGCGAGAGCCCTTGCAGGGCAGATTGGTGACTGTACAGAGGGGTAACGATGATGATGCCGATTTCAGCAAGCCCCAGGGTTTCCCACGAGAGCCTGGCTGTGCCAGCCACACACCTGTGCTGGAGTCCTGATGCTGCCCCGGTGTTAGGGCAGGGTGAAGGCACACCCAAGGCAACCGCCCAGCATTTCCCCGTGTACCTCGCTTCTCCTTCCTGGTCTGCACAAACTCTGAGTGCCGCAGGGTGCTGGGAGCCGTCCGTCTGTAGAAGCTGTTTCGCTGCAGCACAGAGCCCACCCTATTTGCTTCCTCGGCCTCCTGCTCCCAGATCTGGCTCCAGTCTGGCCGGCCTGTGCGTACCCTTGAGTGCTCTGCTCCCCTGCTGCTCCTGGCTGGAATCCTGGGCCCTGGGGCTGCTCCTTCCAGCTCCCCACAGCCGTTGTAGTCAACATCCTGCATCTTGGACTGTGTGTAGCAGGTGCCTGACCCCAGGCTCACACTGCCGTCTCCTGAGGACCAGACTGCAAATGCAGGAGCTTCACAACCTCTGTCCAGACTGCTGTGGTCCATGACATGGCCTTTGGGTTGCCTGTGCTGCTCAATGTCTTCTTGGTCTACTTGGTCCCTGGCACTCGTATACTGACTTTCCTGCTCTCTATAGGCCCCAGAGCTTCCATCCTCTCTATACCACTTTTCCCCTTCTCTATATACTTGATTGCCTCCATCCTCTCTAGACTGCCTTCTCCCCTCCCTACACTCCCCAGAGTCCTTCTCTTGCCTACACCACCTTTCTTTTTCCCCATAATGTTTTCCATTCTCACTATAGTCCCCAGCATTTCTGTAGTCCTGATACCACCTTCCCCCTTCCGTATAGTCTCCAGGGCCTCTATCCTCTCCATACTGCCTTCCCCTCTCCCTATACTGCCTAGGTACTCTGTCCTCTCTGTACCGCCCTTCTCTTACCTCAGAATTGCAGTCTCTGTATTGAATGCCCTCCCTCTCATACACCCTATAGTTTCTGCCCTCTGTATCCTGGCTTTTGCGTTCCCAAGCACCGTCTGCTCTCCTGAAGTCTGTGTACTCGGCATCTCCCTTACAAAAACCTCCACAGTCTCCATTCGTGCTCCGCTGGTCCATGGAGGTGCCCTCCCCTCTCCTGTAACCGTCCCAGCCGCTGTCTGCTCCTCGGCAGCCCGGGTACTGCCTCCTGGCCCTGGGTCTGTCATTGCAGCGAGCCTCCCTGTGCAGTGCAGCCAACACAGCCACGTCCTCTCTCTGAACGGCACAGCAGTCCTCATATTCCCAGCTGAGGAGCCGTGGCTCCTTCCTTGGATCCTCCACACCATGTTTCGTCCCGGGATAAGTGCACATAGTCCTCCCGGGGTGCGGCACAGGGGCTGACTCCCTTTGCTATCTGCTCCCTGAGCACAGGCCTGGGCTGACGCCACTTCTCCGCTCTGCTCCAGCACTCCTGTCCCAAGCGAAACGCAGGCACTGCTTCCTGAAACCAGCCAGCAAGGGTAGGAAGAGGCACAGGCCCAATCGCTGCCAGCCCTGGCCTCCTCCACCTGCTGCCCAAAGTAATCAGTAACCAGCTCCGAGGAGGGAGGCCGGAGCTGGGCAGGCCCTCACCTGCCCAAACCGGCTCCACTGCTTTGCCACAGCCTCTCCGCAGGCAGGGAAAAGGAGGCCCTGCCCCAAGACCAACGTCCTCAGGGAAGGGAATCAGAAGGTGTGTGAGACCGTGGGAAGCCACAAACCACAGATGGGATACCAGATCTCCTTCCACTGCCTTCACACTCCTGCCGGCATGGAGGCTCAATGACATGGTCTAGCAAAGGTTAGGCTCTGCTCCACACCTCACTTGAGGAAACAGAGACCTTCAGGCTGCCCCTGGCTCAAACCTGATGCTGAGCCCATCCTTTTCCCAGCCCTCACCCACAGGTCCTGGGAAGAGGAGAGGAGCGGCTCCCTGCGTGACAGAGCATCCCCAAGCAGTGCCTATACAGTGCCACACAGCCACAGCCACCCAGTTCCTTGCTCCAGGGCGAACGGCTGGTCTACCCACTGACAGGAACAGGCTTGAAGAGACTAGCTGGGTCGTAACCCACTGCCAACACACAATTTAAGTTTCCAGAAGGCTACAGAAACTTGCATTCCAGCAATGCCTCTCACTGAAGGGTGCAACATATTCACAGTTTTCCATGCCAAACGCAGGAGCTCTCAAAAGAAACCCAGAGATGACCACAACATGCCCTAGACAGAAAGTGGGAGAGTCCATGGATGCCATCTACATCTCAGGTTCTTGGAGCAATTGTTAGAAATGCACAGCCAATGGTCCCAGCTGGTAGAAGACAAAAATAAAACCAATGGACACCCCTACTGCAACTGCAGAAGGGCAAGCGCTAATCCTGCCCAAGCCTGGTGATCAGCAAAACCCCCAGTACGAGCACAAGACATACCAAAGAAGCTACCTGGAGATTTTAAACATGCATTTTAGAAAACCACATACCTTCTGCTCTTCCTTTAGCTCCCCAAAGGATACACCAAGACTACGCCAGCCCTACTTTGGTTGCTGGTCAATGCTTAGTGAAAGCTTTTCTTCCTCCAGTGTGCCTCCATGTTCCCCTAATGGTGGTGAGGCAGAGGCCATGCCTTAAGCATGGTGCAAACACATTTTGCTGAGCAGATGCAACACTGCATTACTGATCTGGCCTGCTGCACTAAAGCTGGGCTAGCAAGCCTGAGACATGCTCTCTGGCCACACTCAGATGTGGCAAGAGGGATGTGACAGAGCTTGGATAAGGCACATCTTTATCACAGGACCAGAGAGGCTACTTAAAAATCCTCAGGTCTCTTGAAGCAGTGAAAAATCCCCTAGGACTACCAAGGGGATAACTTAATGGGTAGGATATCTCAGGATACTGTGTAAGTTCCTGCCTAAAACTTCCAGTTCCAGTAACCAACAGGGCACAGGTTCCGCAGGATCCATCCTCTGCCAGGAAGCACTGGGACAGTAGGAGGCATTTCCCAGCAATATCCATCCCGTCAGAAAATTTCCCTTGAGATACAGCCTAGATTTTCCTCTTCCTACCTGCAAGTTATTTCATCTAGCCTCAAATCCACTAAGCCTCCTTCCCAGCATCCCTCTCACACGCCACTGACGTGGAGGCTGTTTGTCACCCTGTTTCCCTGGTGCACCCATATCAGCCTTCATTCCCAAGTGCTCTGCATCAGACACGATCCTGCAGCAAAGCGCCTGGGCTCCCCAGCGCTGATTAAGCAGTGGGAGGATGGAGGCAATGAAGTCAGAGTGAGTAATCCCCAGGCAGGAGCTGGCATTTCATTCCACCTCCCGCGTGCAGTGCCCACATTTCCTGTACATTGTGGGTTTCGGTAACAGAACCGCAGTGTCAGAGCTCCTGAAAGAAGCTGGGGAAGGGATTGTGGGAGATGTACGTGGTCCCATCTTTCTACTTTGTCTACTGTAATATCAAATATAACGTAATTACCAGCACCGATCTTTATATGACATCTTTGGGTTTCAGAGCCCAAATGTGCTGATTTCTCCTCCCTGAGTAATTTTTCCAGGCTGCATGGACAAAAGTCACCTTTTCAGCTACAGACACACCACAATTTAAAGCTCTTTGTTGCTGTTACCGACAGCGCAGTGTCATTCTGTCCTGGACTCCACAAACAGCAGGAGCACAGGGGCAGGCTTTACTTTTTGCCCACTAATCCATCCTACTCCCAGGCCATGTTCAGTGCCCTTCTGTGCATCCCCTCTGATTTGAGTGACAAGTCCCCAAAGGTCTGTATCACCACCAGAGCAGAAACCACAGGAAACCCACTGCCCTGACAGTCTGAGGGCAGTCACGCCACAGACATCAACTCAAATTGCAACTGCAGGACCACCAGCAAAGTCACTCTGAAGCTGCTGCTCACTCCCCTATAGCCAAGAGGAATGAAGCAGGGAGGCTGAGCCTGCAGCAGCTGTGTTCTTGCTTGAGAGCAAGGACACGCTGGGAATGGATCAGATGAGGGCTCTGGATGTATGGTGGGGCTGGAAGAGGAGATGGGAGAGTTGGAAGGAAAAGGGGGTGGGGAAGGCCAGGGCTGAGGGATGTCCAAAGAATAACACTCTGGTTCTCCGTGGCAAAATCATCATGATTTGTACTGCAACAATGCTTACAGAATGACCAAAATCAGGACTTAAATGAGGAAATAAAAGACTGGCTCCAACAGTGCGTGTATGCAGCAGGGGCCAGCTGTGGCCCTGAAGCACCCCCATCCCGTGCCGCTGCAGACTCACCCCTCAGCTCCTGTAGCTCCACACTGAGGCTCTCGATGTTGGAGTCACAGAAATCAAGGTTTTCCAGGGTCTCCGCTCTCACCAGCTCATCCTGCTGCTCCTCCAGCATCAGGCTTAGCTCAGCACGGGTCTTGCCATAAGCCTCAAGGTCTCGCTCCACCTCTCCGATCCTTGTCAGCAGAATGGAGTGGGGGGAAGCTGATCCTGCCCGTGCCAAGTCCTCACGTCCCTCCTCCACCCGCTGCTCCTGGGTGTTGAGCTGAAGCTGCGCAGGGACCACATTTTTCCGCTGGTTGCTTGATGGAGGCCGAGGCGCAGGACGGGAGGGCTTGACCGAGAAGGACAGAGACCTGCCTTTGGGCACCTGGGCACTCAGTGTGTGCACAGGCGTTGTCGCAAGGCTGTTGGGCCGAGGAGGGGGTGGCCTCAAGGCCTTCCTCCTCTCTGGCTGCCTGGCATGGGAGGCAGACTCAGGAGACCCACGGACAATGTCCTTCTCAGAACTGTAGTCCAAGATAGAGAAGTGGCGGGAGACCTTGTCCTGCTCAGTGCTGGTACTTGACAGACTCTTCTCAAACTGCGCCAGCTGCTCTGTCAGTTTGGAGTCGAGGTCCGTGCAGCTGTCCCCCTGCACTGTGAGTGGGCAGCATTCCCCCCAGCTTCCAGCCCATGTGTCCAGGCCCACCTCGGCACCTCCCAAGCTGGAGGAACAGGGTTTGGACTTCTCCTCTTGACCGTCCATCCAATCATCAAGGTCCTGGGTGCTGCTCTGGCACTCCTGGGGCTCGGATGCTGCCCAACTGTTAGGAGAAGAAATCGCCTGGCTCTTGCAAGGATCTCGGGGGGAGCAGGGAGCCTGTGGAGGCACGGTGGGACTGACTCCATCACGCTCAGGTAGAGAGTGAGTTTCTGAGTTTCCTGGGGAGGCTGAAATGGTCCCCACAGGCTCCAACTCACCTGCTTGGCCAGCCCTGTTGCCCGGTTGGGGAGGCAGCTGAGCAGAGGGGAGGCCATTGACCGTCTTTGTGTGGTCAAAGGGGAGGGAGTCCACTGTGCCTTTGGGACGTGGCTCTTGGTGTCCTGCGCTGGGAAAGGCCTGATGCTGTCTCAAGTCAGTGCCAAGAGGACCCTCTGAATTCCCCGCTTTGTGAGACAAAATGGTGACAGGCTCAGGGTGTGCAGCCGAGCCATCCTCCTTTTCCCTGCCATCTTTCCCTGACAAAGGAAGAGCTTCAGAGCAGGTGCTTTCTGGGTCTTGATGGACAGTCACTCCACACGTGCATCCACCTTGGGGATCCTCAGCACGCACCTTTTCCTTGCAAGCCTCAGAGGCTTCCAGCCTCACAAATCTGTGTGGAAAGATGCCGCGTTTCCCTTTCAGCTCCCCCTCCAGCCAGCCATCCTCCAGAATGCCTACGATCCGAATCCTGTCACCCACATCAAAATCCAGTTCCTTGGACTCCAGGGCTTGGAACTGATAGAGGGCAACACCATAAGTGGTCCCTGGCTCCTCCTCCTCCTTGGGGGGCATCTCCACTGTCCCATTGGTGTCACAAGTCCCTGTGGGCTCTGGATCCACTGAAGTTCCTGATGCTCGCAGAGGAGTAAGCAGTTCCACAAAACCCTCTGGGAAGATGCCCCTGCGGCCTCTGAGTTCACCTTCGAACCAGCCAGGCTCTGGGACACCAACAATGTTGATCACATCCCCTTCCCTGAAGTCCAGTTCCTCCTCCAGCTGAGCAGATAGGTCCATCAGGGCCCGAGCTTGGCCAAGTGAGTAGGCAGGCACCTCCAGGAGAGCGCTCTGGGACAGCTGACGGCTCCAAACTGAAAGGCACAGCTCCCGAACACATGATGAGGGGAAAAAACCCTTGGAACCCCAGCTGCTTCGGCCCTGAAGCCAGCTGGAGGCCAGGGATCCCCCTAGGATCACCAGGTCTCCTGCAGGGAATGAGACACACCAGTTCAAAACTGCTCTCATGATTGCTTCCCACCTCTTATTCCTGTTTCCCTGTGTCCCCCTGGCTGTGGGTGAGGTCTGGCACTCTGCACAGAGTGTAGCACATGCTGGGGATGCACAGGAGAACAGAATGGGGGTAAGGCATGAAGCATTGGCAGCCTCTTGCACACACATATCTAAGAGACAGTTTTGGCTGCAAAGCCATGAAGGTGCACCAAAACTTTGATTTCTCCCCCAAATGCAAGTCTAAGATTTGGGGATTGAAGGGCAGTTAAAAGCAGCTGTAAGTTTACCACGATCAGACAACTCCAATTTCTGGAGTTTCAAGAGTAATGATAGACCATGAAAAACCGGGATCACAGTGGCAAGATACCCAACGGTCCATGGTGGATTTGACACAACCCATGTCATGAGGCATTAGGAAATTCCCCTCTCTCTCCTGTCACTCTAGGCAGGATGCCGCGACTAGGGTCATGCTTCTGGAAGGACAGGTGAGGACTATGAGGTCCAAAGCAAAGGAAGGGAATGGAGATTACCTCTCTGCAATGATAAGCTCCCTGGTTCTTGAGATGTGAAGTCACTGGTACAAACAAACAGTTTTTCTCCCTGCTTCAAAGGGGGAATATCCACAGGTTCCACAAAGCTGCTAGGAAACTGCCCTAAAATGAGAAGCAGTTGTTAGCAATAAGTCTTTCCTGTAGCCCACCACCACTCCCTCCACCCTCCTTCCAGATTTTGGGATCTATTAATCTTTGCTAAAGGAAAATACCCAGCTACCCAGGGCACCTCAATAGCATGGTAGAAGAGGAATGAGTTTGGGAGTCAGGAATTCCTGAGGTTTTAAGCGCTTAAGAGCTAATACAGAACAAAAAGCTTTGTGCCCTCGGCTCACTCCAGGCAACCAACAGGCTGTGTTCATTACTGGGACTGTGCTGTCAGCACAGAGTTTCTGGGAACAGACATACTATGTTTTCTCTGCTTTCCTTGCTTGCTTCCCAACTCGGAGCCATGATGAGGACTGAGAGATCTCGTAGCGCTGGATCACGAGACCTTCTGACTTGGCACATCCACCTGGTGCTCCTCACCGTAAGGCTTGGCCCCTGCATGGCCTCAGCGCAGAAGTCACGCCACCACACTCGGGATGGCCACATCTGTGAGCCACAGGCTCTGTCACAGCTTCAGCACTGCTGAGCCTCCAGGGACCTTCCCCACTTTATCACCTCTGTGCACCTATTTCAGCATGAAACCAAAGCTGGACGCCCAGCTATTCTGAACAGACAGGGCAGTGCACGCTTGCCAGCCATCACAAGACACCACTCAGCTACTAATTTCAGTCCCGGGAGCACAGGACGTGGCAGAGCCCACTGCAAAGGCCACTAAAATTGTCATTCCTATCTTTTATAACTTGTGGCAAGGGGATATGATGGAGTACAGGCTAGTAGTACTTCCAGCATTCACTTTGGATGATCCAATATGGCATTCACATTCTCCAATAAAACCTGGAGGCACCATATCCTAGACACCCAAAACTCTGCAGTGGGTTTAGGCAGTTTGGCATCTGCTGTCATTAACCTGAGGTGCAACCAGCAGCCCACAGGCTGTTAGCCTCAGCGGCGTCCTTCACAGTTTTAACAAACTCTACCTCTTTTTCCATGTCTTAGTTTCCTGCTCTGTACATGGAAGCAACCTAATGCTGTTAGAAAGGAAGCCATGGAGCTACATTAATTATTCCCCACAGAATACTGAGTATTATTATTGGTAGGCTGCAGCACCTCCACAGCTTCTATTCGAAAGCGCTTTTTCAATTCCCTACAATTTTAGCTTAGAAAACTGGACAGAAAACTACAACAGCTGTTCCAAGGGAAAGCAGGAATGTAAGTAGGTTTTGAGTGAAAAACCATTTGGTTTAACTTCAGAGTGTTTCTTTATCTTTGAGCTACAACACACATCTGTTTATTATTCCTTAATAACTTCATCTTATTGAGAACAAGTGCATCAGTTACGCTGGGACACAAAACTCCGGTGAAGTAGATACTGGTGATTTCTGCAGGAGTAATTTGTGCCCAGTGACTTCAGCAGCAGCAAGATCAGGCACATGTTCATTCAGTGCCGTTTATCAGCTACGTGGAGCACAGGAGAGAAGTCATCCTCTCCAGCTTTGCTCCTGTTCATCTATGTTTTAGCCAGGAGACAGTTTGCGGCTGTTAGCAGAGCCCAGACAGCTGCTGCAATAGCAGCCCCATCTCCATGGCCAGGGATGAAACTCCAGTCCCATCATCATACTGAAGACAGAGTCAGGCTTATGCTTTGAAGTGGCATGGCTTTCATCTCCCTGAGAGCTCACACATCCTCTCAACATCAGTATTAAGGTCAGAAAGAGCTGCTTAAACAGAGACTATGACACTCCAAGTGTTTCACTGAGAGCATTTTGCTGCTTCAGAAGTTTCTCACACGCCTCCAAAAGTTTAAGAGACTCACACACTACTTCAGGCACACAGATATTGATGGCAGCTTGTGCAGGAAAATGCTTTAAAGCGGAAAGGAGGAAGTGGGGCTGAGTCAGAGGGCTCAGAGGGTCACACAGACTCTGTCACTGCATCTCCCACTGACCTGACCTGACGAGGTCACTTGGACATGGATGCATTTCCACTCTCGGTGCATCTGTTTCCTCTCTCCCCTTCCACTGCCACAGCAGGTCAGCACATAAACTAGTCAGGAAATGGGCTGTCTCACCACAGTGGACAGAGCAACCAGTATTGTAAAGCTCTCATCTCCTTGAGAACTGACCCTCCACTAATCTCTCTCAGAAAAACACAAACAAGCTGTCTGAATAGTTGATGTAAAGCTGGCACGAGACCATTGGCAGGCAACCTGCACCCTCAGTCCCAAGGAAAGATTTAGTAAATCAGATCTGGTCCTGCACAGTGCTGGCCAAGGGAAAGTACGCTGATGGAGTGTATGTTCAGCTGACGTATCTATGGATCCAGGTGCAGGCATTTCCAGCTCTTACCTGTGACACCTTCCTTCTTGCCAAGGAGCCAGAACTCATCCACCACGGCCAGCACCTCGATGACATCTCCCACAAAGAGGGGCAGCTCTTCAGAGACGCTGGGACAGAAATCAAAGACTGCTCGTACCACGGAGCCAGCCTCCATTGTGTGGAGTCTGAAGGCAGATCAGTACCTAAGGCTGAGACACAGCAGGAAGTTTGTTAGCAGCCAGAAACACCTGAGATTATCATATATATGTGTTTTACTTTCTGAGCACAAGAGGCAGCAACAGTGTGAGGGGATCTTGTCCTGATCTCCCTGAAACCCCTCGCCACATGAAGCACGCTGCAGGACCCAAGGGTCCAGTCCTCTGGCTATCTCTGTGGGAATATGCATTTGTGCTGCAACGCAGGGAGAAGCAGCAAGAAAATTGGAAGTGAATTCCCGTCAGGAAGGAAGCAACAGGAGGGGAGGAAGCTCAGCGCTTCCCTGACATGCAGGGCAGGGCCCTGAGCCTGGCAAGGCCGAGGGAGCCGACAGCACCACTCGCTTGCACGGTCCCACCATGCATGCTCTGTCGGGATGGGCACAGGCATCCCCCTCCCCACGCCGCTGCTCAGGGCCACAGGAACTGCGTGCTGGAGCAGTGTCACACTTCTGCCAGCAAGAGAAAAGGCACAAAGTCCACTCAGGCAAGCTCACTCCACCATCCTCTTCCCCACTGGCAAACTCTTCCCGCCCCTGCCTGGACATCCTCAGACCTGGCTGGAAATGCCCCTTCTGCCTTCTAGGTGCCAGGCTCAGCCATCGCCTGGGAGGCCTCACCAAGGCTCTTGGCAGAAGCCAGGCTGAGATGAGGGTGCAGACCCTGTCCAAGGCACTGGGAGCCAAGGCTGAAATTCCCCCTGGCAGGTGACCTAAAGGCAGGCGACCTGAAGGCAGGCAAAGACATCCTCATCAAGGGCTATGTCCTGGATTCCCCCTTCCTCTGGAAGTGGCTGCTGAGCCAGGACACTTATCTATATCATCCTTGCTTTGTACCAAGCAGCCTCACCATCAAGGCAATACACCGCACCAAGGAGGCAGCAGCAGTCCTGCAGCTTCAGCTGCTCCTTCCCCTCTTCCCAGATCCCTCAGAAGGGGAACTGAAAGGTGCATCCGTCCAAGGCAACCAGGAACCCTAAGATTATTCCTCACCATCTGCGCCTCAGACTGGTGAGTGCTTCCTTCATCTTCCTGTTCCACTGCAATTACAGGCAGAGCACAACACTGCCAACACTCTCTGAGATGCTTTCAGAGCCCTGCCCTCTGCGACACTGGGACGTCAGCATCCTCCCCACCAGCCCCTTGACACAGGCTGTTTTCCTCCCACATCACAAGCAGAGTCCCTGCTCCGCCTGGTTGGATACAACTTCCCTGCAATGGGACCCAACCTCCTCCCCTCCCAAAGCACCTCTACGTGCATGGTGAAAGGTCACCGTCCAAGCACCACCCAGCCAGTGATATCTGTCCCATACTCAGCCTGGCTTGTCAAACCGTCCCACCTAGCTAAACGCAGAAAGAGCATGGTGACGACACACACCACCACCCACAGCGAATACATGGGACCCCCGGAGCCCCCATCTCTCCATACACCCGCGCACGGCCCACCTAAGCCCCGGAGAGTCAGGAAGAGGGGAAGCTAACCCAGGGAGGAGAAAAACATCCCCGCTGATGAGGTGCAGCCAACTTCCAGTGAGACTGCCAGTGAGGGATCCAGCCAGGGAAAGGCTTTCTGCTGACGGGACCACTCTGTTTATCCAGTCCGACTCACCTCCCGGGAACAAAGCGGGTTTGTACTCGGCAGGAACAGCTTCCTCAGCACGTCCCTCCCCACCCCCAGCCATGCCCCTGTTACAGCCAGCACGCTGCGCCCGGGCCCCTGGCCACCCTCACCTCTGCCATCCCATCCGTCACTCCTATTGCTCTCCACTGCCTTCCCTGTAGCACGTGGGCTCCTTGGGGCACAGGCTGTCCCTTTGTCACCAGCGTTGTGCTGGCTGTACAAACAAAGAGCCCAATATCCAGCAGCCGACAGCACTTTGCCACCAAAAAGAGATGAATGGACTGGAGTGAATCAGGAGCACAAAGAGCTGCAGTTCAGGGTAGCAGGAACCTACTGAGGCAGAAGGAGTAACAGTATTAAAAACATGACCATGTGGAGCTGGGGAAAAGATTGAAGAGCCATCAATTAGCTTGGAAATACTAAAGACAAGGAAGGATCCTTGCGCTGTTTGAGGTGGGGTGGCTGGGACATGCTGCTGCATGCTCTGACAGCAACAGGAGAGCAGCAGCGACAGGCGCAGCCGTAGCAGCCCCTGGCAGGCACCTGGGGCTGCCGCCCACCCCGCAGCCAGGCAGCCGACTGAGCTCAGGGCCCTAGGAATCCTTGCCATGCTCTGAATACGCAAACTTCCTTCACAGCCACACTGGACAAAGGGGGAAAAAAATACTGCAGGCATAATTGCTGCCTCAGGGTAGTTTCTCCAGGAACACATGATGGTACAGTGAGATTTCTTGCAATTCTTCTGTCAAACGTGTAACGTAAGAGTGGGCTGAGGAGTGCAAGGATTACAGTATGTGTGCTGCAGAGCCAAACCCTGGCTTTGCTTCAGTCACTGGGGCTGAGGATACAGCCCTCCCACCACCCAGGGCTCAGATCTTGCCCATGAAAACAGCAGTGTCATTTCCTTAAATCACCTGTAGCTCTGGGGACTCATTCATTAAAAGGTACAAGATTTCCCAATGAGACAGAAGATCAAGAAGGGCAGGCAAGATTGCAATTGTTCCGCCATGTATATATTAATTGCAGTTATAATAAAACACGGGCACTAACATATTCACGTGAAAAGCATTCCCTGATAGCCAGCCCATGAGGTAAGAAAGCATGAAGTAACTTCTGAAACTGCCAAAAAAAGAATCCCAACAAGCTCATGTTCCCTCAGCAGTACCAAGGGCAGGATCATCCCCTGACTCCGTCTCAGCCTAGACAGTATGCCCCTGTATTCGAAAGCAGTGAATCAGTCTTGTGGGGTTTGCTTGCTCCATAACATGAATTTAACACAAAATAATTATGTTTTCCAGGACCTTGGCCTTGTCTTACTCCATGAAGTGCTGCCTGCCAACGTTTTCTTCAAACCCCCACCTAGAGAAGGAAGCCTCCCAGCATCTTCTAGACCAGAAACTTACTGAGTTCAAGTCTTCAGTCTTAATGGTGGACCTGAGCTTCTCCTAGATCCACCCTCGATCTGGTGAAAACAAACATTCAGCAACAGCTCA